ACGACGACATATATGAAAATCAATTATTGTCCCTGAACGTGGATCAGATTTTATTATCTACAATTCCTCCTTCCATTATGAATTTACATTCCTCTGCAATCCCCCAATCAAAAATGAAACTTCATATCTATATATACAAGTTCTTTTCTCCTTTATCGGTATGGTTTTGCTCTCTCTTATGTGATGACTGCGATGGGGAATCCATTGACCATGATCACCTCATCTTAAAAGAACTGATAGGTCTGTTGAAAGTTTGGTTAAGTATTGTCTACTATGTGAGCGTCACTTCATATTTTTGAGGAATGGAGGGGGGGGGGGGGGACCAACCAAAACAAGTAAAAATACTACAGGCCCACCATTAAATACTTTAAAGTACATATCTCTGTACAATTCTTCTCGAATAAAATGCTATGTGGGACATTGGTAAAAAAGTGGCCTCGGTCGGTGAATGAAATTTCATCAAAATATCTTTAAAATGACGGCCTGGAAGAAGAGGCTGAAGAAGAAAGAAACAAGAGAAACAGAGGGAAAGAAATAAGCTTCGATCGATTTAGAAAACGATTTTGAAACGATCAGTATAATGAAAGGTAGATCTATCTCAAAGCCTCCTGGGTGTTGTATACATTCGCACAAACTTAAAATATCCTTGTACCGCAAATAGTAGTAATAGGGTATAAAAGTAAAACATGAAAATTATTTTCAGTGATATCGTTCGATATAGTTTAACAGAGAAAGTCCCTGAAAATGACATAAGAAGATCAGAATGACGTAAGAAAGATCATCAATGTGTAATAGTTGAAGTAATGTGACTTTCGCTTGATGTTGTTACATGTTAATGAAAAATATTCGAATTGTAAGAGATTTCGTTATTTGTCAAAGAGCTTTATCCGTTCGCCAGATATGTATTCCCTTTAAACCTCTCTTTGCCGTTATGGCTGATCGATCTTCTTATTCTACTGCTGATCGTCGATCATCGTTATAATATCCACAAAATGTTTTATCGCAACTTATTGTTTTTCGCGCCTTTCGTATGATAAGACGAAACTGATGTCATATGCTGCCACAAAGAAGGGGCGGTTTCAAGTTAATTAAACCCTTGGGGCTCGATTGATATTAATAATGATTCGATGATTCGGCTAATTTGATATTTGAGCAACGGCGGCGACGGCGACAGCGACAGCGACGGCTCTTGTTTATGCATATTCAACGATGTTGCGCTTATCGAAAATAAAATAATAGATATAGTAGGAGTTGAAAGAACTATTGCTTAAAATGTGAAAAATAAAAATTCGATGAGTAATTTTTTTTTTTTTTTTTAAACTATCGACATTGATCAAAGCTTACACTCTATTAATTAGCCATACAGTGTTTGAGACATGTTCAAGATTATATGTGTGTGTTTGAACGGCAATTTTCACATGAAATAAAGCGTGAGACAAATATTAACATCTGTTGATGAAATTGTTTACGCCAATCGAACGTTTTATCGCTACTAGCAGTAGCTATATAATGTAAACTATAGTAGTATAGTAGCTATATAACATAAGCTATATAATGCAAAGCAAAGCTCGCACCTCTCTCTCTCTCTCTCTCTCTCTAGATGAAGTTATTAAAATGATGAAGCATCTCATATTCATTTTTTATGAGCGAGAATTGAGTGTTTAACGTTTTCAAAATAATAATTGAAATTTAAATTCCGTGTGCGTGTGGGGTGTATGGGATGTGTAGTAAGGAACATTCGAGCGCTATATATAAGAAAGAAAAGCATATGCATACGGAACATATTCCGTAATATGTCCTAGATTTCTAACGAAAGGTATAAATATTTCATAAGCTTTTTCTATTCGTTTAATTAAAGGCAATTTCAATAATAATACTAATAATAATAGTGAAGTATCGGTTTATTGCTTTCTCGTAATCGCTTCTGTCATATCGTTCTTTCATATCGTCTACGACTAATCAAAAAAATAATTTAAAAAAAAGGATGAATGAATGAATGAATGAAAGAAGGAATTTACGGCGCGCATGCGTGGTTAGTCATTTTGTTTGCGTAATAAAAAATACTACTATTGAAATTTCTTTCTTTAAACTTTTTCTCGTTTGTATTTCTTTTCAATATTTCATGCTGCACTTTTACCTTCTTTTTTACTTTTATTTTAATTCGTTTTTTTTTTTTTTTTGTTAGTGATTCTTTGGTAATTCATATTTTAACCTGTTGAATGCGAGGGAATGTGTGTATATATGTATGTAGATAAAACAGCAGCAGCAACAGCAACAACAACAGCGCTAGCACCAGCACCAGCAGTACTTTATTTAAACGTTATTTTCTATACATAAACAAATCCATTTAATTCACACCTCCCTCTAAACATTCATATAATATACACAATAAATGTGGTTTCCATTGTATGAGTTGAATGCTATATATATATATATATATATATATATATATATGCATATATATATATAGATGTAATATTATAGTATAGATATATACATATAGATGTAATCATGGGCACGGGCGCGCGCGAGTATATGCGGTGTGTGTGTGTGTGTATGTGTTTTTGTCAGGTTATTAAAAAAAAAAAAGTAGTAAGAGAGAAAGGATAAAAGAAGAAGGAGTAGGAGGAGGAGGAGGATGAAGAGCAGATATTTGGTTATAATATTATTTTGATGTGTCGTGAGGGACTTTGATGACTACTTTACAACTACTGCACCACTACTGTAATATTCTATGGGTGAGTTTGCTCTCCTCTTCTTTTTTTTTTTCCGTTTTTGTTCTACTTTATAGCAATCGCATAATTGAAGGCGGGGGTGTTTACTGCCGACTGTTGTGGCTGATGTTTACGTTGCTGCTTTACTCTCTGCATGTTGTTATGCATGTGAACATGTATAAATATATATATATAAATAAATATATATATATATATATATATATATATATATATAATATGCGTATATATATATGTACGTATATATGTGTGTGTGTAATAATTTTTTCATATTCTGTTTATTGGATTTAACCTTTTTTTTTTTTTTTTTGTGGGCTTTGTTGACGGAAGCAACAGTTGAGATTTTTCTTTTTATGCCCGCGTATGTATATGCGTGCACTTAATACGCGCTATGATACATACATAGCAAGATTTTTGTATATTGTTGACGTCTCAGTTATTTTTGTCTTACACATGTGTACATTCTACATACATATATATATATATATATATGGTTGTGGGAATTTCTTAAAAAAGCCGGTTCGTCTTTTATATTCTTTTTATTTATTTATTTATTATTTTTTTTTTTTGTGCACTCACTCTACTCTGATTTTGGTGATACAAGAATTTATCGCTACGTTTGTAACACTAAGAAGTAACCTCTTCGCCCTCGATGTAACAAAACCGGCTTTAGAGTCATATTATTCCGTTAGAGATCTAAATATTGGAATTTTTCTCTTCAACCTTTAAAAACAGTTGAAAGAATGTAACGAACGAACAAAAAGCTTAATGTAACTAGTCGTTGTTCAATGGATGTATGCATTCCTTAGGAAGAATTGAACCGATATAGTTTTAGCTATAGGTCGATTTTATTGCCATCCAAAGGTTTTTCTCTTCTTCACTTCTTTACACAAACATTGCTGCAATAAACTCTATTTACACAGATCCTGAACTATAAGGTGAAGATATGTATATAGGTATGTATGTATGCTTCTAAGCTTCTACTCTTATTATTATTATCGTGAATCGAGCCACTTTTTTTTTGGTGTGGGTGTCTAATTCTGGCAGACACCGCACATGCTGCACATAGCGTATGATGGCATGTTTTGCTTGCCCTTAGCACAATTTGATCGAATCGTTTTTCAGAGATATCTATGTTTCTCAAGGAAATTTCTAAGGAAATTATGATCCATGTAGAAGTCGATGCTTTAAAGTTAAAATAAATTTCATATATGATGAAGATAAAATTCCGTTAAAATGCGATAGATTAGCGCGAATGTAAAATCACAAGGTGGGTGACATTAAACACACATACAACAAGTTATTACGATTTATTTGGGTGATGTAAGTTATTAAAAACATACTCTGCCGTATAATAAACACGCTGTTCAGATACGAAATCCGATTAGCTTATTAGCATTCTTGCGAAATGTAGGGCGCAAAGGAAATAGCCAAGCAATATTGTTGGATAGTTAATACAAATATAAATTTTATTCTATTTTTCACCTTTTAGTAGATCTACCTTCCAATGCCCACTCACATAATTGTGTTTGCCAGGTTGTGATCTATGATATGAATAAGAAATAGATTATCTTAGTAGTCGTTATAGAGTTGAGATTTCCTTTGCTTTTTCTAGCCAAGTGCATATTTTGGTAAAAATAATGAAAGTCTCTTTTATTAGAAGGAGATACGTCTAATAGCTTATCTGAACTGTGAGTGATCTCTAGTTTTTTATTTTTCATTTTTTTTTTTTAAGTAATCCAAAGCGATTGGTTAGTAAACGATTAGAGTAACATAAATGAAAAAAAATTGATGGAATTTTTGTTTGCTTCATAGTTATATTGATAACGGGCATCGAAGATTCGTTTTTAGGCGAGCGTAGCTAGCTTTCTTATTTGCTTGTGTGTGTATCTTTTCTTTTTTCTCTTTTCTTTGTTATTGTTGTTGTGTGTTGTTGTGTGTTGTTGTTGCTGTTTTTTTTTTCACATTGTTATTATCATTATAAAATGCTATTTGCATTCTATGCCGGCGTATAATCATCCGCATCATTATTATCAACTACAGCATTGGCTACCTTTTGTTCTTGTTGTTGTTGTTGTTGTTGTTTTTTCGTAATGGTATATATTTTTTACCTTTCACTTTTCTAGTTGTGCTTTGTTTTGGTTTTTGTTAGAATTTCTCTTTTGCTTTTTTTTTTTTTTTTTTCTTTTTTTATTCTTTTTTTTATTATTATTATTGTAGTAAACACAACGTGGATGGCCATCAATATTTGATTCCATAATTTAACAGCAAAAACGTAAAAACAAAAAAAAAAAAAACAAGCGTATAATTTCTGTTAAAGCAAAGCGTAGCGTACTTTTAGCAATCTGCCGAGCAGAACTGTCTGCAGTTGTTGTCGCTTTTTCTGTTCTGTTTGGCTTTTGTTTTTTTTTTTGGTTTTTTTTTTTTGTAG